AAATATTTCTTTTTTTTTTTTTTTTGAATTTTAAACAATATTTGTAATGTTTATATATACCCAGACCCTAAATTGTGTAATTTTTCTATTTATATATATATTTGAATGGACAGTTATCTTGTGATTCACATGATTAATGGATCCCTTGATGCTACTGCATACATCAAAATTGCATTAATTAAATACAGTGGTACTTCAGTACTCAATTAAACAGTTGTCACTCTCTAAAACGAATTTTTGGTTAATGACAAATATTTTAATTTTGTCATCTGTAAAAAAAGTATTTTATGAAAAAAATGAGTAACTAATTTAAAAAATAAAATGAAACTTTAGAGCTGTCTACCTTTGTCACACAAAATTCTATTCAATCCAGTTTGTTTTTATCACTGAATGCATTCAGAACACAATCATCATGTTGGTGACATACTTAAGATTTGTTGCAAGTTTGTGAGTTATTATTTGTCAATTTTTAGATTTCTTCCTGAAATTTCTTTTCACTAACAGCTGTTGGGCTCCCTGTATGTTTTTTCTCCTTTATTTCAAAATATGCCCGATGTTTAAGAGTAACTTCCCCATACACATTGAGTATTTTTTATTGTTTGTATAACATTATGTTGTTTACAAAACTTAAAAGACATACATAGCATTTTGTCTGCAGACAAAATGCTATGTATTTGATTTTATGCAAACAAAATATGAAGTAAAATTTTAAAATAAGCTTCTAAATATAGTTGTGAAATTTAACACATTAGCAGTAATGTGTTAAATTTCACAATTATCATAATTAAAATACATATTTTTATGGAAATCATTCTCAGTACATAAATAGCAAATTCATTAATACCTTATTTGCTGAGAAAAACATATGTATATTAAGTAAAGACAGCTGTTAAAGCTGTATTAGTTAAAACTATAGGGACCTTGAATAAGTTCTTGCTGTTTTCCAACAGATGGCATTACCCGAACCATGTGTGTGTATTTTTAGATGGTGACACATCTGTAAGGAAATAGAGTAAGTGATCTTGAAATTCAGTATATGTCGTTTTGCCGAAGTGTAAACAACTTATTTTTTCGTTGTGTTAAACATGTTGAGTTTCATGCCAAAAAAGAGTATTTGCAGGGAATTTTATTGCACTATTTTATTCAAAAAAAATCTGCAGCTGAAGCACACAGAATTCTTGTTGAGACTTACGGCGACCATACTCTGTCAGAAATAACATGCAGAGATTGGTTTAGACGCTTCAAAAATAATGATTTTGATGTTGAAGATAAAGAATGATCTGGCGCACCAAAAACGTTTGAAGACAAAGAATTGGAGGTGTTACTTCGTGAAGACTCATGTCAGATGCTAGTTGAACTTGCAGAATCATTAGGAGTTGATCACACAACAGTTTTAAAATGTTTAAAGGATTAGGAATGATTCAAAAGCAAGGACATTGGGTGCAATACAAGTTGAAGCTGAGAGATATCAAATGGCATCTTTTCATGTGTGAACAGCTGCTTCAATGGCAGAAAAGGAAAGGTTTTCTGCATTGTATCGTGACGGGTGATGAAAAATGGATACACTACGATAATCCTAAGCTTAGAAAATCGTGGGTAAGCCTGACCATGCACCAACATCGTCAGCAAAGCCGAATATCCATGGTTCGAAGCTTCTGCTCTGCATTTGGTGGAATCAGCTAGGTGTAGTTTATTATGAGCTGCTCAAACCAAACAAAACCATCACGGGAGATTTCTATCGACTACAATTGATGTGTTTGAGCCAAGCATTGAAGAAAAATGACCGCTATACGAGCAGAGACACAACAAAATGATTTTGCAACATGACAATGCTTGACCACATGTTGCACAACCGGTAAAAATGTACCTTGAAACGCTTAAATGGGAAGTCCTACCCCACCCGCCGTATTCTCCAGACATTGCCTCTTCTGATTATCACTTGTTCTGATTGATGGCACATGGCCTGGCTGAGCAGCACTTCTATTCTTATTAAGATGCCAAAAAATGGGTTGATTCTTGGATAGTCTCAAAAGACGTGTCGTTTTTCCGATGTGGAATTCAAATGGTGTCAGAACGATGGGAGAAAGTAGTGGCTAATGATGGACGATACTTTCAGTGACATGTTTTTTACGACTTTTTTAAAATGAAGTATTAATTTTCACAAAAATACAGCAAAAATTTATTCAAATATATATATATATATATGAGGATTGTTGCAATTAATTTCACATGTTAATCGAATGTTGCATTAAGCAAGGGATACCTATATTCAAAATATTTGAAATATGTTATGTTCTATGACACACCACTTTAAAAAATTTTGAAATACCAGTAAATATTTAATAAGATTTTTAAGGTATTTTGTTAAGTGGTGTGCTGTAGTTATAGTTCCAGTTATTAGAAGTTGTTTGTGTATGTCATGTTCTGTCTTGCATTCCAATTTGGAACATTTGTAAAACCAGATCTTATTTACCTATTAAGAAGAAAGAAAATCAAGCTAAACAAAATATGTACAAATATCAATCACATAGGTAACCTTCACTTCATCTATGTGATTAATTTTAATAGTACATTAATGACAACAAACAGGTCTGTTGTTGTTAATCTACTACTGGAACAAAGCAAAGGTTACCTATGCCTTTAATATTTGATCTTATTTACATATAGAAAATGTTTGTCACATTCTTTCTTATATTAAAGTTTGTTGCTGGAGCTATTTAAGGTTATATTCTGTGTTTGTGTTATATATTGTGAAATTTTTTTCTATTTTAAACAATATATAGCAAAAACTAGAAACTAATTGACAAAATACTTGTCAATTGTAATATAATACGTAGATCATTTACTAAGACATGGCAACAATTTTTGTGCAGGCAAATGCATTGTTATACAAACATTTCAAAATACACATATAAAAAGACACAATGTACTCTACCATTAATGTTTGTTAGATGGGTTATTTGGGAAGTATTGTAGACAAGGGAGGAAAAGCAGAACTGTAACTAGTCGTTTCATTTATTGTATATACTGTACTTTGTAATGTTAATGCATAGTTGCCTAGTCAATACCTGTTTGTGCCACCAACTCCTGCAGAGACCATTGTCTGTTGTCCTCTAAGCATTGAGCAATCACAGCATAAGCAACATTGGTACAAACAGTCCTAGGGTGTCCAGTATGAGATACATCGGCAATTACTACTCTTTCATGTTCAAAAGCTGCTACACCCAGCTTACAACAGTTCTGTATGGGAGAGCATGTTCACTGACAGCTTCTACAAGCTGTACATGACATTCTCTCATGTTTTGACCATGAAGCACTGAAATTTTTACATATGAATGCTATTCCAGTCAACTCGCACCTGTACTGAATAACAGTTGAAAATCAACTGACTTTGCATTCCGCTTCTGTTGATGTTCTGGAACATCCACACCATCTAGCAGTTTCATTGTGTAAGCATCAATACATCTTAGTGTTATAGCTGTACATTGAAAAATATGGATTATGGCATGGGATTCTGCATAAAAAAATATTGCCATGACTTAGTAAGCGACCCACATATATACTTCCAAGATATGAGCTTGATATAAAGAAATGTAAGCAAGTACAAAGCATAAGGCTTTAATACTGTATTTTCACAGAATGATTGGCATGCTGCATAACTGGAGTAGATTAGCATGTCAGTAACACCAGGGTTTCTGGCATGCCGGTTAAGCTGTGACTAAAAAATAAAAATTAATCAGATGTAACAAAATTAGTTGTTAATTAAATGTTAAAGAATAACATTATAATTTGACAGACTTAAAATCAGGAAGATCATTTTTGTTTACAGTGCAATAAAACAATAAATGGCTTATTGACAGTAGTAGTAGTAGTAGTAGGTCAGTCAGTGTGGGCTACACTGACCATCTACCCCCCTCCCGACTTTAAAAATAACACCTTCTTCTCAAATTTCACACAAAGTTGAGGTTAATAGTGTAAGTGGAGATAGTTTATTGCCAATTTCTGAAATTTAATGTGTTTATTTTTGCGGTAGCGTAACTGGTAAGCGCGCCGCACGGCAAGCGGAGGCTGCGGGTTCGAGTCCCGCCCCGGGCCAGTTCTTTTATTCCAGAAGATTCTAAATTTATTTATTGATTTATTTATTTAATTTTAATTATTAATTTACTTAAGAGATGGCGCCTAACGTCTACCTCTAGTGTCAAATTACTTTATTCCAATCATTTAATTAGCCGTATTATAGCCCGATATTTAGGCGATCGTTTGGTGATGTATTTATTTTTGCATTTTAAATCAAAGCACTTTTTTGTTAGACAAACATTTTATATCGTTAGAAGACAAAAATAAACATATAATCATAGTTTTTGGTGTAATGCTGACAGTTTTGCAATTTTAGAATAATAGCATGTTTACATGATGTAACTTGTTTGTTTTTTAATGCACCCTCTAGAGAGGTATGTATAACCTCATTTAAACTGGAATGCCGGTTTTTACCATATGGAAATATCAGATTTCATGGTGTTCCCAGGTAGGTAACATGCCAGACAATCTGCAAAAATACAGTAATGATTTTTATGGAAAGTATTTAGTTATTTTGTGTATAATTTTTATTTAATGCATGCAATGTGCTGGAAAAAAATTTGTTCCTCTCCTGTATTCTAGTTACTTCATATTTATAGCTAAATCAAAATGACTTGGAATGTTACATCAAAATTTCCAATGTAATTTAGATAATTATTCTACAACTGGATAAAGATTTTTTTCATAATTTTCTAAATTTTCTTTATCGTAGATTTACAGAGAGGAATAATTTTTATTTTACATTTTGAAAAAAGCTGTTAACAGGAGTTTTTTTGATGATTATATTTTGTAGTGTTATAACTTATGTATATTTTGTATTTAAATTTATTAATCATTAAATAAAAATGAACAAAAATATTATTTATTATAAATAAATGATTTATATTTAATTAACTTTCTGTTTTATAAAAATTTATTTTCAGTTTCTAATTGTGATATCATTCGTTCGTATGCTGCTTCTAAAGGACTTATAGCAACCTTTCGAAATCTTCCATTAAATACTAGAGAATTGCCATATACTTACATTTCTATGTTAGTGATTGATGGACAAAAATTTAATTCATATCCTAATGATAAACCGACTATTGACGAAGCTGAAGAAGAGGCTGCTCGAGTTGCTGTGGAATCTTTGGATTTAAGGCCAGGTAAATCTGTGTGTACTAAAACTACAAGATACGTACAAATCCAAAAATTACCATTAAACAGAGAGACTTTAATTATTACAATTTTCTAATAATTAATACAAATGAAATTTTAACTATGAAGTGAAATTGTATAATTTATGGAAAAGATTTACTAACAACAACATAACTTTAGATGTATATGTATTCAAATTCTTAATTTTCTGTATGAATTGTTTTGTAATATTATCATATTGTCATTCATTTAATTTTCTAGTTTTATATTAAACAATTGTATTTTTAAAAATTTCAATATTAATAACAATAACTTGTTCATTTAAATTAAAATGAGTTGGTATAAATATTCCTACATTAATTTAATGAATAATACAAGCAGTGCATTAAATGTTAATTTTTTTTAAATATAATAAATACAAAAGAATTCTGACTTTTTGCTTAAAACAATATTGAAATTCTTTGAATGATTTGAAAATATGAAAATAAATATAGGTATGCTTTAAAAATAAGAATGACCAGTATTATTCTAACAGTATATTAAATGATATAATATTATAACAGTAGATTAAATGATCACTGCAAATAAGTTTTTTAAAAATAAAATCTTGTCTTTTATTTTTAATAAAATTCTTTTTATGTTCATAATCAGTTGTTGCAGTAATAGATCTTGGGCATAATGTGAAAGATTCCTATGACTTTCTAAATAGTTAGAGAAAGAGCTTTCATCCTTGTAATTTTGAAATAGTTGTCTGTTTGACCATTTAGTTAAACAAGTCACACAACATTTTAAGTTTTTCAGTACAGTTCTTCTTTTAATAATAATTAATAAATCTTTGATACAATTATTTAAGCATAGAAAGTTAGACTCATCGGAGGAGCATATGAATGCACGCCCTACTAACTGTTACAGTTAATTAACGCTCTTTGTAGAGAAACTTTTCCTATTAACTACTGAGCAGGTCAGTAACCTCTCGCAACCATCGCGAATCCCAGAGAGATTCATTTATATTTTATTTGACAGCATAAAAATATATTTATATAAGTTTCAGTTTTAAATTCTAAGACAATAATGAACATATCAATGTTCATCTTGAACTTAATATAATACAATGAAAAGATGTTTTGATGGCTTAATGTAGCTTACTTTTTATAACAGAATATATTCTTTTATTCTTTTTTTCACATTTTTAAAAATTTAAATGTTGAATAAGAATGCATTTTAAAAATCATTATTNGAACACCAAAATTTGTACATTCACTTAATGCCAAATTAAGTAGCATAATAAATAACTGTATGTGTTTAAACCTTTCAATAAACACAAAATATATACGCAAGTATTTTCAACAAGGCATTACCGTCTTCATCAGGCAAAAAATTTTTTATAAAATGGCATATCAAACAAAAATTTTTCAAAAGTGTTAGATAATAGCTTTTTTAAAAAATTTTTTAATTAAAGAAACACAAGTTTTAAAATTTTTCTCTTATGTGCTTAAATACTTAATGTGCATTTTAATGGTTTTTAAAGTTTCAATTAAATGTGAGACAAATTGTTAAAAACTTGACATAAAATGAAAAAGTTACTCATACATAGGAGCCACCACCGGAAAGCCTATTACCATCTATCAGAACACCAAGATAACATTTTAAGTAATAGATACTCTACAGAACTTACCAAGAAGGTTTTAGAACATAATTATGATATGATTGGAAGCATCATTATTGAGATACTGTTTGGACTGGAGAGGCATTTTTATCTGGAAAATCTTATACATGTATATAGCAAGTATGGATTCCTGTAATACATCAACGCTTGACTTCCTGGATCTTTGTGTGTCACTTTAAATTGTAAAAAACATAATTTTGTAGCTATGGTAGTATATGCCTGATTAAATTTAAAATTATTATTTTAATTTTTATAATTTTTAAAAAGTTATTAATCTTATAACTTTTTCCATTTTAAGCCAAGTTTTTATTAACAATTTGTGTTCCTTTGCATTTAATCAAAACTTTAAAGATCATTAAAAGGCACATTAAGTATTTATGCATGTAAGAGAAAAAGTTTAAACTAGTGTTCTCTTAATTAAAAAATTTTATATAAAGTTATTATCTAGCCCTTTTAAAAAATGTTGTTTGANAGATAATAGCTTTTTTAAAAAATTTTTTAATTAAAGAAACACAAGTTTTAAAATTTTTCTCTTATGTGCTTAAATACTTAATGTGCATTTTAATGGTTTTTAAAGTTTCAATTAAATGTGAGACAAATTGTTAAAAACTTGACATAAAATGAAAAAGTTACTCATACATAGGAGCCACCACCGGAAAGCCTATTACCATCTATCAGAACACCAAGATAACATTTTAAGTAATAGATACTCTACAGAACTTACCAAGAAGGTTTTAGAACATAATTATGATATGATTGGAAGCATCATTATTGAGATACTGTTTGGACTGGAGAGGCATTTTTATCTGGAAAATCTTATACATGTATATAGCAAGTATGGATTCCTGTAATACATCAACGCTTGACTTCCTGGATCTTTGTGTGTCACTTTAAATTGTAAAAAACATAATTTTGTAGCTATGGTAGTATATGCCTGATTAAATTTAAAATTATTATTTTAATTTTTATAATTTTTAAAAAGTTATTAATCTTATAACTTTTTCCATTTTAAGCCAAGTTTTTATTAACAATTTGTGTTCCTTTGCATTTAATCAAAACTTTAAAGATCATTAAAAGGCACATTAAGTATTTATGCATGTAAGAGAAAAAGTTTAAACTAGTGTTCTCTTAATTAAAAAATTTTATATAAAGTTATTATCTAGCCCTTTTAAAAATGTTGTTTGATATTCCATTCTACAAAAAATTTTTTGCCTCATGAAGATGGTAATGCCCTGTTGAAAGTACTTGCATATACAGTAGACCCCCCCCCTTATAACGCATAGGTACATTCCTTGTTATATGAATTTCACGTTGTAGGAATCCTTAAATACACGAGCCAATCGCAGCCTGACACGTGAAGTTTAGGGACTATGGCTGTTTGAAAGGTTTTCTTCCATAAAATTAATTGATTCTAGACTAATTCGATTTAACATTTCCAAAACACGTATAATTTTTTGGGAATAATACGTATAAACTATGCTATAAACAAAAAATTGTAGGATTGCTTACTGAGTGTGCACCGTTCGACGTCACCATTGCTTAAGCTTGTTTTCATTGCAGAGCAGCACACCAAACGGTGGCTGCGATTTCTGATGTTATTTTCTGCGAAAAATTCGTTGAACTTTGGAGACATCATTAATAGAAATAATTTTTATGGTTGTTGAATAAGAAATGTTTCTTTCACAAGAAATGTATAAAATTACAGTGCTGTATTAGACTTACGGTACCTAATTTACATACTGTACAGACGGTAGTAAACTCAACTTACTCGCCTAAACTCTCCATAGCGTGGCGCTGGACGCCGGAAAGTATATATATAATTATAATAAAGTTATAATAAATTAAGTTAATATATAATTATATATACAGTACCTAATTTATATATAATTAATATATAATTATATGTACGGTACCTAATTTATTTATAATTTACCCACCTAAACTCTCCGTAGCGTGGTGCTGGATGGCGGAAAGTAGTTCAGCTGCTCGTCCGCGATGATGAGTTGGTGATGACGTTTTACTGCGTTTTAAGTGTCCCTTTTAGCGTCTTTATACGAATATTGTTGCAATTTTTTCGCCACATTATAAGAATCTCCGTTATAGGAACCCGCGTTATAGGGGGGTCTACTGTATGTATATATATATACATACATACAACTATGTTTTTGTATTTAAACCCTTTAAAAAATAAACAATATATATATTGTTTATTTTTGCTAAGTAACATAATATATTATGTTACTTAGCAAATTGATATTTGTGCTTAGAAAACTTTACTGGTTTTGTTTTATTATATGTTTTTACTCAAAGTTACTTAAGGTTGCAAATTATTAATGTATTCATTTTTACTTTCCCGGCTGTTATCTAACAGGGAAAAAGTATGATGATCAGCCAAAAACCAAACTCCAACATTTATACATTTTTGAACTCAGGACCAATGAAATGCTGAGAAATGGAAAAAAGTTGGGAGTTTTTCTGTATATATGGATGTTAGTGTGTGTAGAAAGCATGAATTTTTACTAACTTTGAAGCTTAATATCACCTGTTCCTTTTGTCAAAAATTTCTGAATTTTTTCATGAAGGTTTGTATATTAGGGGAAAATGTTTCTACAGATTTTCAGGAAAATTGACCATTGGTTTGAGAGAGATGACCCCATCCCCTTAATATCTTGTGAAGCATTCTGAAGATTTATAAAGGTAATGGTAGCAATTATTAAGGATGGAAACAAATGAAGAATGTGGGAAAGTTCAACAAAAACGTTGCTAGCTTTTTAAAAATTTAATATAATTTTTACTATATAAATTTACTATAATTTTTCTCAGTTTCTTTCAAATGTGTTTTGTTTCAAAAATATCCTAAAACTACATTCCTTTAAAACATCTTAAACATCTTTAAAATCTTTAAAACAAACATACATGATGATATGTTTGTTTTAAAGATTTGACGCCAAATGTTCAGGTGCACTCTTCTGTTTTTACAACCTTTACTTCAACCTGCCATTTTTCATTAACTATAGATTTCTGTTTTCACTTCTATACTTGCTGTCATTCATACTATTGATATTTTTGCTTTTTGATTAAATCATCTTTTGTCTTATATAACTTATGTCTTTAAGTTTTCTCATTAAAAATTTAAAAAACTAAGATTTTTAAGAATTTAAGATGTTTATAACTTTATTAAAAGGAAGTGCATTAGGATTCTGCAACAATTACCTAAAAATCAAATGATTTGAATGTTGTAAAATGCATTGTTTTGGAACAAACTATGTGAAATGCAATGCATAAATTTTAGGATGGAGCCTTGTGATAGAATTTTAAAGATTCAAATTGCAGAATTTGGTTGGAAACAAATGAAGAAACCAGATGCAATAATATACAGTTGGGTTACTTTTGTTTATATTTTTATTAAAAACTATAGAGTTGGGCAACCATTGGAATAGGCAGTAGAATAGAGTAAAAGAGAAACTTTAGAAAATCAGATGATGGAAGTTGTAGCACTCTACAGAGTAATCAACAAACTTCAAATTA